TTAATAATAAGAATGCATACTTTTAAATATTTTTATATGGAGTAAAAAGGCTGAACAATTTTGGGTGCAAAAATATTTTTCAATTAGGCGGGAAATAAAAAACAAAAAATCATTTGCATACATTTTATTTTACATGTTTATTAAAAAATATTTACATACATTAACAAATCAATATTTTATTTTCTTAAATCCAAATGGTACAGAGGTATGATCTGCATAGAATTTCCTTTTCATTGAAGTTATCTTGTATACCTTAGGAAACTCGACTGTTACTACTGCATGCTCTCTTGTACGTCGTAGCTGTCGAGAAAGTACAGAAACAGGAACAGATTTCTTCAGCACCATGTCTTTTATTTTCTCAAAATTGACCACTTGGGATGCCTTGTAGTTGAGTGATATGCCTTTTACTTTACATACGATCTGTTCCTCTCCAGACAAAGTAGTATATTTGTAGGCGTAGTTCTTAGGTCCTCCAGAAACAAACTCTGATATGAAACCCCCATTGAGCTCATCGGTCATATCACCTATGAAGTCGCCTGTAGATATGTCGTCTAATCCCTTACGAGAGATATAAATACATGAATCTGTATCTACGTAAACTGCCCTTTCTTCCACTTTCTCCAAGAATGAATATAATTTTAGTCTAGCTAGGGCCGTGACGTATGAAGCCAATACAACGTTAACCGTTGAAGAAACGTCATACACCTCTTCTCTAAATTCCCAAGTTACGAGAAGGGTTTCTTCGTTTACCGGGAGAACTGTATTTACATGAATAGAAGGATTAGTCAGCATATCAAAGAATTCACCACAGTCTCTGACTATCGAGGTTTTGTTTTGGTTTTCTTTTTGAGCAAATTTACCCCAAAAAGAATTCAGCATAAGTTTAGCTAACGATCTCAAACAGGGGTTCTCTATAATTTTTGAAAATTCCAGCTTTATGTCCTCTGTATCCAAAAATGCATCAATATAACGGTTTTTTTCTTCATCCGTTAAGCAATGTTTGGGCCATCCTGAAGCTTGTTGTTTTATTTGTAGAAACTTGTTCATCATTCCGCTAAATAACCCCTCTTGGTCTTTACTGAGCTGAATTGTATCGTATTCCCATATTTCGTAAGTCTCTATAATTTGGTAACCTTTTTCAATAGCTTTGAGCACCTCTTCTATCACCCAAGTTCCTTTTAGGCTTCTTTCTTGAATAGAATGCTGACACTCTTCTCGAACGAAATCTTCACCACATTTTTGACAGTTAACAAACATCAATTTGTTGTTCATTTTTGACGGTAAAACGGGGTGATATAAGTTCTGGTTCGGTAGAATCTGGCATTTAATAAGTCCTGACATCTGCGACAGAGAGGCTGTAACACATTCTTCACCTACGTAAATTTTTTTTGGATGACCCACCGGAAATTTTCCATATTTACAGATGAAGGGGTACAGGGAACATATATCGACATATTTTATGCATTCATTTGTTTTGATCTTGTAGTATTCAACGATATTTTCTGTACGTCCCCCGTAGAGAGCGTCTCTGGGGTTAATCGGTAAATTGATTATCAATGGATGTGCTTCTGTGAAGGCTCTAATTTCATCGTTTAGCATTCCTCGAAATTGACATTCCCATATCTCAATTACTTCTAGTCCAAGGCTTCGGAGTCTCTCTACTTTGCTAACTGATTGTTCGTATCGACTTTCCAATGTATTCAACGGATCATTATGCAGAGGATTGCTTCTGTTGTATTTGAAACATCGAGGGCAACCGTGAAAATAGCATCCTTGGAATTCAAACACTTGATTTGTGTCGCTACAAAAACCGTCTACTTTATGTCCCTTAACAATGGTTTCTATACCCTTAGCGGCGTGTTGAATTTTGATTCCTCTTTGATGTTCCTCCCACAACATCCATTGGATGGCAATTTTTGACTGATTTTCACGCCATCTATAGCCCCCTTTTGGAATTACCCCGATCGTCTCAGGTTTTAAAAAATTGCGTCTAAAGACTTTGTTACAGCATGATGCAATAGTGGTGCTTTCCTGGAAGGGATCGACTGTGGTTTCGGTTTTCATCAGGTCTCGAAATTTGAGACACGCCTGTGTCAATATTTCCACATCGGAGATACAGTATTCAACGATTTCTTTCTGAAAATCAAAAACGTATCCCTCCGCTTGTCTTTTGCCATGCCATTTTAATAATTTTTCTCGAGTGTCTTCTTTTAAATGGTCGGGATCGTAGAAGTCGAGCGCTGGAATTGGCCCTAGATAATTCTGATGAGCCAAAGTGTTGAATAGATGTGGAAAGTATCCTTTCTTTAGCTCTTTCAAATCAAACGCCTTGGGTAGAGCAGTTAGAGGCATAGGAAAATAATTGAGAGAATCCAGAAATTTTACATTTCCTACCTCCATCAATATTAATTTTGTTCCTCTCATAATTACATTTGGGTACAGACTAGTCTTCTCTAAAATGTAACGAAGTAGAAACTGATGATCAAATCCTCCACCATTATGCGCCAGTACAATGACTTTCTTGAATTTTTTACGAAGTGTCAGAATATGATGCATAAATGGAGAAATGACGTCTTGACATCGAAGAATCTGTAATCGAAGGCCACATTTCTTGCATATAGGATTATCGGTACATGATTCACAACATTGTTTGAATACACATAGATTTGGCTCATGAAGTAAAGATCCGTTGGGTAATTCCTTCTCCTGACGGGTTTCCAAATCGTAAAATATTAATAAGACATCATTTGATTTTGGAATACTTCTGTCAGGCTGTATATAGCACATATGTTCAATTGGTTGATTTTTATAACATGTTTTACAAAGTATATGTCCGCAGATGTGATCATTACCGTTGTGAACTTTAAAACAGTCTACACATCTTTTAATTTTAGAACAGACCGATGGTAAATGAGCGTTAAAACATTCTTGTCCATAAAAGCTTCTATTACATTCTTTGCATTCGATGTGCTTCGTTTTCAGGCAGGCCGGAGATCTTTTACAAGCATAACATTGTTTATCACATCTATGAATTTGTTTATTATTATACGGAATGTGGCAGTTCTCACAAAAATAGCTGCAGCAAAAGGCAGCAGTGAGGGATGTTATGACGCTGTAGTGCCCCTCGTGATAGATTAGGTTAAGCGTCGAACCAGTGGACACGCCTTCAAAAATGACGTCACGACCTTTGCACCCAAACTTGTATACAACAATTTTGTAGTTTTGCAGATATCGTTGTAGCTTTTGAAGTTCAGGTATTCCACACCCCTCCTCAGGGATAACAATATCAGCCTTTTCCACAAGTTGTGCAGCTCTTTGTCCTTGTATTTTTCCTCGATCGAGGCGGATTCTGCTATAATCTTTGTCTTTGTTCAAATGGGCCATGGCGATGACAAGGGCTCGTGGGAGACACAAATTATCGGTGTTTTTAACGGTGATAATACCTCTTCTTTTGGCGCATTCCTCATCAAAAGTATTGAAATTCTGACCTCTACCACGACCAGCAGGCAACCTTATGGACGTAACTCCCAAGCAAAAAGTCTCGGTATTCAACCCCACAGAATTTGACTGATAGATGGAAGATATCTTCTCCCATATGTCCTCATTTGAAACGTCGGAAAACGATTTAAAAGCTATCCACCCTTGACCGCGGGTAAAGTCTTTGGAACAGAAAGTGAATCCAACTTGATCACTGGGCTGGAGATGTTCAGTTCCTTTGGCTACTATTTCCTCCAGAGCGTCTTTGATCCATCCCACAGGTTCGACGTCTTTAGGGATAGGTCGTATTTTAAATTCCACTTCTCGCCCATATAGATTAAATTTTTTAATCTTCTTAGTAGAATCCTTAACGATGAAGAATTTTTCCATTTTTTTAAAAACTAAAACGTTAACTAGCGACTAAATCTGAACTGAGCACGTCTGTTCGCTGTAGCTAACTGACAAGATAATTTGCGATGATTCATAGGTATTTATAATCTCAATTATACCCCCACCACTTTTTAACTGACCACAGTGTTCCAAGGTCACCGCTGGCCGGTATTAACTAGTTGACAGCCTGCGCTCCCTGCCCATTCACCCATGCTTGACAGCCCCGCCCGGTACTTCTTGCATATCACAGCTACGACTACACCGGCGCTGAACCTAACCTCATTTGCGACGTAGGTGATTGCCTTGTTGGAATCTATTAGATACACAATATAGACTGTACTATGTTTTCAATATTGTATCAATGTTAAAAATTAACTAACATTAACTGTATGCACCACATATGAGCAATTCCATTTTTATATGCACACTGAATATGACGTGTTGACTATTGAGATCATCCTATACGCATTGTTCTCCGCGAATTTTATACGTTTTTCCAATTAAACTGAATCCGCAGAATTGCATCTATAATTACCAGTATTCATCGGCTTTTATCGATCTATATGCAAATATTTACCGCAAAACATGAAATGAGTCACATCACTTACGCATAGACGTTATACTACACCTTACTATCGTTGGCTGTCTGAATCACTTCCGGTCGGGTGCGGCATCTAGCCCGCCAATCAACATATACCATCAACCCCGTTCAAATTTCCCGCCGTCTGATCCGCCAATCAGAGCACGCGGTGGATCTAGCGGTTCCCGCCAATCAACATATACCATCAACCCCGTTCAAATTTCCCGCCGTCTGATCCGCCAATCAGAGCACGCGGTGGGCGTGGCCAAAGTGGAAGTGGTGGGGGGTGTCCATAGTAGCCCATATTCTACTACTCACAACAATTTTACTAATCAAGAACAGTTGTTTATTCATATTCTACTTAAGCAAATGTTGCAATGACTTAATATATTGTTATTTTGAAAATAAAACAAAATTTACATTTACTACTAATTATAAATATTAATATTGGTCATAATTTTTGGAAATATAAAACTGTCTATCAGACCATACATTGATACTTAAGAGGCTAATCACTAATGTACTTATTTCATTGGAAGTTTTTAAGTTGTAGCATTTGGCTAGTCAAATCACTACTATACTGTGATATTTTCAAAATGTATTATTGTTTTGTTTTTTGATTGAAGTTTTTATACTTTAGTTTTGTTTGAAGACTAGTTTGTGATAGTTTTGTTTGAAGGCGATAGTTGTGATGTAAAAACAATAAAAGGGAAAATATAACAAAAATATTTTATTCCTCGCATTATAACTCGAGAAAAAGAAACATTCAAAGATTTCTAAAATAATTAATCATTTATTCTTGAGCAGTATTGACATTGTGATTCTGTATTGTAGGCATTTCAATATCCTGTGTTACAATTAAATAATTGAATTTTGACATAACTTGGGAATAAGTTGGCTACAGTTCTTAATACCCCTCCAACAATTCTGCAGGCTGTGCTTGCATGCATTCCCATAAAATATGGTGAAATGCTGTGATTCCTAAAATGCATTCATATAGATATTTGTCTTAGAAGTGGGTCAACTTATATACCTGTCATGATGATACTCTAATTGAGATCATCTATTTGCGATAATACATGCAACACTGGTTCCTTATATAACCGGAACCTTCTGAAAAAACCCAGTGGATCCATTTCTTCAGAGTAATTTGGCCGACTATAAGTGCGCCTGGGTAGTCCCATCACAATAATATCTACCAGGTCTAAATCATCTTCCAGAATATCTGATAAGTCGCCCAAATAATCCAAATATGAGTACTCCATTGTAACTCACACGAACACAATACAACCTTAATAGGGTGATGTCTACACTTTAGAGCTCAAGGTCCTGTTTGAGGTATCACATCAAATATAAAATGGAGTCGATTAAGACGAAAAAAAAACAAGTCAATAACACCAAAAAGGCCTTCCTCAGAAAGCACTTCTACACTACACAGAGGAAAATATACAATAGAATTGTTTTGGTATTTGACAAAACTATTTGGTTATGTTTTCCCACGCACGATTGCCACGTTGCAGGTCCAACGACAATCATTTCGCCGGTTGGTAGGAGAAATGTCGACAAAATCACCAAGTATATCTCTTCTATCACAGTACTTGGCATCAGTGTAGTCAAAAATAGTCCCAGTTTGGTTTAGTTGCCAGAAAAATAACTAGTTGTATAGTCAAAAAACAGTTGCTAAGTATAAAGAAAAGCACCAATATGGTAACAAATCTTCAAGCCTGGCAACCATGTACCACACTGTGCGCTAAGTACCGTTCAAGTGATCGTTAGCTGCCACTTAACTAAGGACAGTTTAATCGGAGAATAATCCTCACTTTTCGTTGGTGCAACCGAAAATGTACTTTTAAGGATTGCTTAAAGTTGAGAAACGAATAAGTTATCCGTAAAGTCGTTGGTGCAATCGGCCATAATTGTCCGCTGCTGGGCTTCGATGATCATCAATCTTTCAATGGTCTTCTTATCATCGTCCTTTTTGGCAGCTCCTGTCGAACCTCCAATTCGACTCTCAACTGCTCTAAGGTCTGCTCCCTCGACCCCGTCTCCATTGCCATGGTGGAAGCGCCATTTCCTGACCCCCCTGGGTCAGTTTCCACAGTAAATACCTAAGTTATCTCGCTCTTCGTCGCAAAAATTTTCCGGATCAAAATTACAGGACAGCTGCTATCAGTGCCCTATACAGGGCGATTGCACATCTGATGATTTGGTGACATTCAAAATACTTTCTAGCGATGCTTTCATGACATTTTCTGCACACAATAAGAACGAACTAACTAACATGTGTGCTTTACGATCGGGGCTATGTTTCAGTTCTAGTCGATTATATGAGTAACTAGTTCTGATTCGGACCAGAATTTCAGCCAATAAGGAAGTTTCCTAATTTTTGAAACAGACTGTAAATGATCGAAGTAAGGTGAGGTACGGCACTGAAAAAATGTTAATATTTAAAAAAACGACAAAGGTATGCCACCCAAAGGTTTCTTATTTGGAAAACATGACACTGGCTATCATCGCTGTGATTTACGGTAAAGCCGGGTAAAAAAAGGCCACCAATTTTCAAATACTGTATTTGTACCCAGGTGTGCAAATACAGGCATATCAACTGCAGCAAAACGTGTTTACCTGGGCCAAAACATAGAGGGATTAAAAGGAGACGGCACATGGCGATGAACAGGGAAAATTGCATCTTTCGGAGAAATCATTTGTAAACATCGTTTTGATATTAGCAAGTATTTAGTTAATATTGGTAAAAAGGAACAAAATAAATATTAACGTATGTACCTATTATGATGGATAAACGACCTAATTGGTGTGAACAACACCGGGGCAGATTTGGTTATCGCGTTTATTTCAAGATCATGTGAATACTGTTATAGTGATTATGTTGTGGCTGGAGATGGATTACTACTTCTGCTTTCTTTGTGTCCACATGGAGATGCATAGGCAAGGTTCAGGTAACAAAAAACTTGACTAGAAGTTCAAAAAATTGTTATATCCGTTTTAGAGAAATCAGTTAGTTGTATGGAGATGTGGCAAAATTGATTGTATAGTCGATGAATGTATAGTTATTATGACGTTGTATTACTCGCGAATCCATACATGTTACTATACGAAAAACAATATGTAATTGATATTTTTTCGGTAACTAGTAAACCAAAAAACTTTAAAGAAGTCCACAAATTATATATCGAAATATATAAAACTGTAATTTGAGCGCAATCGCTAATTTTTTTGCAAACATATACATCTTACTGGTTACATCAATTAGATTTTTTAAGAATCTATATTTAGTTCCCTGTTAGAGAACTTAATACTTAAAATTCAAATTTGAATCAGTAGATTTTTCTTTGCAAAGGTGTAGGTACACTGTATTAAGTCCGCCACTCCAGTCTTTGACAAATGTATATAATATCTATTGTCTGCGATCTGGCTAACGTAGAACTGTTTTTTTTTTAAATTTAGTCAATCTTGACGTTAATTGAGTGTCACCCTAATTATAAATGTTCATACCTACCAAAGCATCAATGTTTCGCATAGTCAGGGTATTCCTTAATGATATGCGAATATTTGACGGTGTGAATCTACATGAAAAATTAATGTTATTTTGTTTTATAAACTATGGTCCAAAAATGTTTCCTTACAAAGTTTTAGGGAAAAAGATAGAAATTATTTAATATTTTCAGAACCGCTTCAGATATTTCACTGATATTTAGTACCTAGTGAAAGTTAATCAAATTGCACATTTTTCAATGCAAAAAAAATTTTTAGCTTCAACAGTGGCGTGCGTACGGGTATTGACTTCGATATTTTTTAAGAAAAAAAATGGTACCGCAGTGGTTCTTTGCCAAATAAAAATTATTGTTAAATTCCCCGTTCAATTTAAAATGAATGACCTTTCTTGAATTGTTTTCCTTCGATGCGTCATCTTTGAATAAAAAAATAAAAACCGTTCTATTGTCTAACTTGCAAAATTATTATTAATTTAACTGAAAAAAATAAACCCATTAGGGGTAATAAACAACAACTACTGACAACATAAGCATAACATTGAAACCAACGAAATGATTACAAAACTTGTTGAAAATCGCCCCCTTCACTTAGTATGCATGCTTCCGCCCTCCGTCTCATGGAATTGCGCACTCGATGAAATATCTCAGGAGTGTTTTTTATTCAATCACAAGCTGCAACTACTATTTCTGTTAATTCCTCTACAGTGTTATTGGGAGTTGTGTATACTAGTATCTTAAGAGATCTGAGGACCTTGGTGGCCATTCTGTCAACAGCAAAAGCAACTGTTGTTGGAGAAAATTGAGGTAAGTCTGTCCGTCAAGTCGTCCCGGCAAGAAGAATGGACTAATAAAGTGGTTGCCAATAATTCCTGTCCACACATTGACCGAAAATTGGTGTTGGGAATGGGTTTCGGTTACGGCATAGGGCTTTTTTTCTGCCTAAAAATGATTGTGGAAATTCTGAATGGCTTTTCGACAAAAATTAGCTTCGTCCGTGACTCATTGATTCAGATTGCGGATTTTGTGTAATTTTCTGAAGATACCACTTCCAAAAGGTCACACGCCTTGGAAAATTAATGGGAAGTAATGCCTGTACTCTTAAAATATGGTAAGGATATAACAAGAGATCCAATAAAATTCTCCAAACAATTTGATGGCAAATATTTAAGTATCTAGTGATCTTCCTCGTACGCGTTTCAGGATGTTATTCGACTTCGTGCAGCACTGCTTCCTCAATTTCAGGTGTTCTCACACTTGGAGGTCTACCTTCAGATGTTTCTTTTCGGACAGAACCAGTTTCAACAAGACGACGATGAATATTAGAAAAGGTTCGACTATCTGGCAAAGCACGATCGGGTTATCTCTGGTGATAAATCTGTCTGGCTTGCTCACCATTACCGTCGGCAAGGCCGTATACGTAATGCATTTCCGCCATTTCTGCATTTGAATAATTCATCATTGTTAACAAAGGTGCAAAAACTAAATAATGAAAAAGATGTCACAGCGACCAGAATTGAATAACAGAAATCAAATTCAAGCGAATAACAAAACGAAAATGGTATTTACCATTTTGGATTGGTACTTACCGATCCGTTCAAGCGAGTGTGGTTATCACTTTGGTTATAAGATCCGTGACGCCATGAATCAGCTGTTATATGTCATAGTTATCACTGTAAAATTGTTGTATTTACCCAACTCTGGAGTAGTTTTATATTTCTGGTTATGATTTGAAATGTGTCAAGTTAGAATTTTGGCGGATGCTGGATATTTTTGTTGTACTTCAGCTTCATTTTTGAGAAACTTGATACAGGCTGACTTCAGTTGTAGCATAAAGTAGAGCACCTTATTAGATATACTCATTACGGTTGTTGGGGACACTTCAAATCTAGTTAGTATGCTTAACAAGGTATCGTGTGTAGTCATATACCACAAGAATATTAAAATATGGCCATATAAACTCACTGGATAATGTCCACCTGTGTACGGTTTTGCTAATATCTTTTTTCATCTCTTTTTCCTATCATCTCTGCTAAATCAATAAATGTTTTCTTTAACCTGCGGACAAGTTTACAGAATTGAAGGTTACCATAGCTACAAAGCCATGGTTCCATCATTAAATTTTTCTGAAAAAAACTTTCTCCCATTAAAATTATGAAAGGTTTATTTTATAAACCTTCCACACACTGTTCTAGACGAAAAATCACCGATTACTAAGTGATAATAAAAATAATGGAAAATTATATACGCGCTTTTCCAAAATAAACAACTTGCAACAAAACCGCGGTTAAAACCAACGCGTTTATGCGATTCGAGTGACTGACGTCATCAACCCGTGTGTCATCTTAAACCATATTATGACCGCGGTACACAATACAGAAATTTTGGGCATTCGCTTGGATTTGATTGGAGACTTGTCAGATGTCAAAAGCCAGTGACATATTCCAGAGCAACTAGATATTTATTGCTAAATTGCATTCTTCAATTATTAAATTAATTTTCTCGGATAACGGTTTTTACTTTTTTAATCCAAAATGGCGCATCGAAGGAAAACAATTCAGGAGAGATCATTTGTTTAAAATTGAACGGGGAATTCAGAAATAATTCTAATTTGGCAAAAAAACATTGGCGTTCGATTTTTTTCTTGAAAAATGTTGAAGTCAATTGCCGTACGCATGCCAGTGTTAAAGCTAAAAATTATTTTTGCATTGAAAAATATGCACCTTTATTGACTTTCACTACGTACTAAATATCAG